AGTTTTATAGTTTGGGATCTTAGTTTACATCTTTGATCCATTTTGGGTTGATTTTTGTTAATGGTGAGAGATAGGGATCCAGTTTCATCCTTGTGCAGGTTAATACCCAGTTTTTCCAGCACCATTTTACTAAAGAGATTTTTCTTTCCCAACTGTATTATCTGGTCTCCTTTGTCAAAAATGAGTTGGTTGTATGTTCTGTGGCTTATTTCTGGGATCTCTATTCCATCCCATTTAGTCCACATGCCTGTTTTTGTGCCAGTACCATGCTGTCTTGATTATCACAGCTTTGTAATATGTTTTGGGGTCAGGGAGTGAGATGCTTCCTATTCCACTCTTCTTGTGTAGTATTGGTTTGATGATATGGGGTCTTTCATGATGCTAAACAAATTCTATGATTTTTTTTTCTATTTGTGAAGAGCATTATCTGGTAATTAGAGATTGTATTAAATAAATTAATTTGTGTAGAATTGACATTTTGGTTATATTCATTCCTCCAACCCAGGTACGTGGAATATCCTTCCACTTTTTTTGTATCATTTTCAATTTGTTCTTTTCTTTTTTTAAAAAAGTTTTTCATAGTTTTCCTTATAGAGGTCTTTGACTTCTTTGGTTAGATTTATTCTTAGGTAGCTTACACTTTTTGCAGCTACTGTAAATGCAATCGCTTTCTTTAACTGTATCTCAGTCTGTCTGCTGTTGATGTATAGAAATGGTATAGATTTTTGTATGCTGATTTTGCATACTGCCACTTTACTGTATTCATTTATCACAGCAGTTTTCTTTTTATTGGTAAATTATTTTGGGTTTTCTATGTATCTAATCTTATCACCTACGAATAGAGATAATTTCTCTTCTTCTTTCAAAAAAATGGCTTTTATTTTATTCTTATCTAATTGCATTGTGTAGGACTTCCAATATTATTATTATGGTTTTTTTTTGGAGGTTTTCGCTATAGGGCGCATGCGCTCGTCAGACAGACAGAGACATAGAGACAGAAAGCGAGAAATCACCACCCAGGGGGGATGGTCACAGTGTAATCCCTTCTCCTCCATTCTCCTCTAGGGATCTTGGGCATGCATGCACAAGCACCCGGCGTGAGTTTTAAGCCACCGGGTCCAGGATGCGAACCACGGTCGACGACGTGGGAGTCCAGCAACATAGCCATTATGCTAACTGCTGGTTCCCATCCAATATTATTTCTAAAAGGAGTGGAGAAAGTGAGCAGCTTTGTCTTGTTTCAGTTTTATTTTGGAGAGGTTTTCGCTATAGGGCGCATGTGCTCCCCGGACAGAGAGAGACGTAGAGACAGAAAGCGAGAAATCACCACCCAGGGGGGATGGTCACAGTGTAATCCCTTCTCCTCCATTCTCCTCTAGGGATCTTGGGCATGCATGCACAAGCACCCGGCGTGAGTTTTAAGCCACCGGGTCCAGGATGCGAACCACGGTCGACGACGTGGGAGTCCAGCAACATAGCCATTATGCTAACTGCTGGTTCCCTCTTGTTCCAGTTTTTAGGAAAAAAGTTTTCAATTTTTCCCCATTTAGTATGATGTTAGCTCAGTCACACGTGTTCTCTTTCTCTCTCTCTCTCTCTCTATATATATATATATGTTTTGCATATATACATTTTACTGTGTTGAGAAATGTCCCTTCTATGCTGATTTTGCTGACAGTCTTAATCATGAAGGGATGTTGTATTTTATCAAATGTTTTTTCTGCAACGATTGATATAATCGTATGGTTTTTATCTTTTTTTCTGTTAATGTGGTGTATTACATTTATGGTTTTGCATATATTGAACCATGTTGTACCCCTGGATGGTATATAATCTTTTTAATGTGTTGTTTGATACAATTTGCTAGTATCTTGTTGAACATTTTTGCATCTATATTCATCAGATATATTAATTAGTCTGTGGTTTTTTGTTTTGACCTTGTCTATTTTGGGTATGAGGGTGACAGAGGTTTTATAAAAAAAATTTGGAAGGGTTCCTTCCTTCTGGATCTTTAGAAATAGTTTTGAGTAGAATGGTGGTTAGCTTTTATTTTAAAGTTTTGTAGAATTCAGAAGTGAAGCCATAGGGACTTGGGCTTTTCTTTGTTGAGAGGCTACTCATTATTGATTCAATCTCATTGCTTGTTATTGGTCTATTCAGGCTGTCCCTGTCTTCCTTATTCAATCTTGGTAGATTATATGTGTCCTGGAATTTGTCCATCTTATCCAGGTTTTCTTGTTTGTTAGCATATAGTCATTCAAAGTATTCTCTAATGATCAAATATGTTATGTCTGTTGTAATATTGCCCATTTTATTGATGACTTATTTGGTTTATCTTGTCAAAGAACCAGTTTTTGGTTTCATTTATTTTCTGCACTGTTCTTTTATTCTCTATTTCATTTATTTCTGCTCAAATCTTTTTTTTTTTGTTTTTTTTTGTTTGTTTGTTTTTGAGAGGTTTTTGCTATAGGGTGCATGCGCTTGTCAAAAAGAAAAAAAAAAAAAAAAAAAAACCACAAGAGAAGCAAGAAATCAACCTGCAGGAGGGATGGCCACGCCTCAATCCTTTCTCCTCCATTCTCCTCTTGCCATCTTGGGCACGCATGCACATGTGCCTGGCATGAGTTTAAGCCACTGGGTCCGGAACTCAAACTGCAGTAGACTACATGGGAGTCCAGCGGCACAGCCATTACACCAACTGCCGGTCCCTCTGCTCAAATATTTAGTATTTCTTTTCTCCTGGCAACTTTTTCCCCCCAGTTCCCTGAGGTATGTTGTTGTCTATTTGCCACCTTTCCATCTTTCTCTTAAGTGGACTAATTGTTATGAACTTCCCACTTACTACTGCTTTTGCTGTCCCATAGGTTATGCACACTCATGTACTCATTGGTTTTAATGAATCTTTAACTTCACAAAAAATAACCCTAGAAAATGTCCAAACATATGAAAACTAAATAACCTATTCCTAAATGACTTTACAACCACTACATATCACTAATGCTTTTCTACTACAAACCCAATGCTCATCCTTCTCTCACCAAATAACCTTGTATCTGGTTTCATAGAGAAAACAGACTCAAGAAAATTTCCATAAATAGCTCTACCCTCTTGCTCCAAATGTATCTACAATTATAATTCTCCCATCTTTGGTTACTAGGACACTATTGTCCTATATCTTACTGCTATTTTCAATTTGTTTTGAGGGTACCTTTATCTCCCTCAACTATCTCTCCCACCCATCACACAAACACACACACACCTTCATGGCACATGTATGTGCATGTCACACATATATGCACATACAAGTTGCCCAGGACTCACGTTGGCCCAATTTATGCCAGTAGTCTATAAGTTCTGCTTAGGTGATTCCACCTATTCTAATACTTCAGCTGCTACTTTTATTATACAGCACTTCAAATCTATTTCTCTGCTTCAAATTTTCTCTGAGACTCGGATCCTCAGTTCCCAACATCCACCTGACATGTCCCCCTGATGTATCTCAAACTATGTTCATAAGAATTCAATTTTTGAAGGGGACCAACAGTTACTGTAATGGCTATGTCACTGTATTCCCATGTAGTCAATCATGGTTCGAGTACTGGACCTGGTGGCTGAAACTCTCACAAGGCACATGTGCATGCATGCAAAAGATCCCAAGAGGAGAATGGAGAAGGGATTGTGGCGTGGCCATCCCCCCGGGGGATGATTTCTCGCTTTCTGTCTGTCTGGCGAACACACGCGCCCTATAGCAAAAACCTCTCCAAAAAAAAGAATTCAATTTTTCATTTTCTTCTGCACTCCAGCTTATTATTCTTTGTAAATTCCCCATCTTGGTTTTCCAATCTAGAAATCTCAGTCACTATTGCTAACAACTTATTTTCCCAGACCCTCATTCATAATTTAAAATCAATTACCATCAGTTATACTTTATAAATGTCTATCCAGCTCAATCCTTTCTGTTTTGTTCCATAGTTCAGGACATTCTCATTCTGGCCTAGATTACTACGATAGCTCTCCACAAGTCTATCTTCACCAGTCCATTTTTTTATAAAGTACCACTTGTGTACATTCTTGATTGAAAATCGATATATTCAAAACAGGAACAGGTCAGCTGCAGTGGTGCAGCAGTAATGCAATGTTCCATGATGCTGAGGCCACATGGGAAGGTCCTAGGTTCACCTTTGGTGGTCTTCCTGTATACAGCAGGTCTGTGCATAAGCACTATTGATCCTAGCTGGCTGAGGCTATAGGTTGATTGCAGCATGTTGGGGGTGGACTGCACCTCTGTTGGGGATGCCCTCTCTCACTTATGGGAGAAATAAACAAACTTAGGGGGAAACAAAACAAAACAAAAACAAAAACTGGACTCTGAACCCCAAAGAGAATGCATTTCTACAAATGTATAGTCATACTTTAATCTAGCAACTCAGCTTCTTTTCCTACTATTCTACCCCAATATTTCAAGAACAAGGTACTTATTACTTAGACCATCCAAACTCTACAACATTGGGAATGCCATCATCTCTTCTTGGAATGATCTTCTTTGCCAAGTTACTTTTTGCTCATGAATCAAGATCTATCACAGATTTCAAAGATTTTATGAAATCTTTGGCAGTAACTGTAGGCAAAGTGTCCCTTGGGCTCTGAAAGGAGTTTGTTTAATTACAGCATGTATCACACAATGTACTAAAACAAACTTACATATGTCTCCTTTATTGAATTGACTGTTTAAAGAACAGGAATTGCCCCATTCTGATATTTGTTCCTCAGTTGGCAGTTGTTGGCATAGAAGGAGTGGAAAGACATCTCTCAACAGACACTAGACCAAGAAGCATTATCTTTATCACATACCAATTCAGTAAGATACACTTAATAGCTTTATTCTGTTTCTTCATGTAGCAACTACAGACAAGTTATCAGATTTAAGATACGTTTAGAAACTATATTTTAATAAATTTTAATATGAAACTAATAGTGAGAAAATGCCAAACAAAACATACCTTGGCAAAGGTGTGAATTCACTAATTATGCCTTCTGCTCCAAGTGTGACTCCCTGGACAATAAACGTACTTCCCATTCCTTTCCATAGGGCTCTTGGTCCCTAAAATAAGATTTACTGTTACTCTGATTAATCCTCAGATATGAAACACAGAAGAAGATCTTAATAAAATTTAATATTAAATATTTTCTGATATTTTCCAATAAAGAATTATCCTAACAGAAATCTTAATAGAGAACTGACTAAAGTATATCCTGCCATTCTAATGTTTGTTAAGTGGCCCACATTTAGGTCAAAGTAAACACTCTATTAGTTAAATACTCCTAATGATTAATTACTCAATGTCCCTAATATCTATATATTCAACTCCCTACTAGTCTTGCTCTTTAGATGACCAAGAAGTACATTAAAGCTAACACATTCATAACTTTACCTAATCTAATCATACTAATTGTTTTTCTCTGCTATAGTTTCCATCTCCTTAGATAGCAGCTTTGTCAAGCTAATGTCCAGACTGGATATTCAGTTAACATTTTCTTTCTCTCTCTTCTTATCTAATCAGTCACCAAGTTCTACAAATTCTCATCCCCTAGTTGCTTACAAATCTATGCTCTTTTCTCCATCCTTACACAATGACTTTTTATCAATTTGACTATATTACAAAAGTTTCACTGTTTCAAGTCTGGCAGTTTCCACAATTCCATCAGTGATATTTGTTTTTTATTATCTATCTAGCTATATGCTATTTATATGTAATAATTTAATTGTAGCACGATTAAATTTTAATTTTAGTACAGTTACAAAGAAGCAAGAGGGGCCAGCAGGTAGCATGGTGGCTAAAGTGCTGGATTCCTACATGGCTAAACACGGTTCGCGTCCCAGACTTGGTGCCTTAACATTCACATTCATACTTAAAACTCCGAGAGAAAAATGGAGAAAGAACTGCAGTGTGGCCATCCCCCTAGAAGGTGATTTCTCACTTTCTCTCTCTCTCTCTGTCTCTATGGTGAGTACACATACCCTGTGACAAAAATCTAAAAAAAAAAGTAATAGGGTATCAGGTAAAAATTTTTCTCTTTTCATCCCAATTTTCTGGCAGTAGTTTCTTATAAATCATCCAGGGATTATCCATGTGTTTAAGTCATGTGTCTCTTAATGATGTAGTCATGCCAATATCATAGGCTGTACTCACATAAACCTAGATGGTATAGCATGGCATAGCCTACTCTAGACTTAGACTATATGGTATATAGATTATAATTTTATGAGATCAGCATTATATTGGGTCATCAGGAAAGTCATGACATATTTTGCCTAGAAAAACATAGAAAAATACCTACCTTTCCTGACAACCGTGTGGTTTGTAACTGATCAAAACAGCATTGCACAGTGTATGACTGTCTATCTCTTTTTATATTAGATATAGAAATGTTTTTATTTTGCCCATTTTTTAATAGGGGGGGCTATCTTAAACCATAAAAAATAACCTGAGAGACTATTGCATAATACACCGAACTACCTTATTTTTATTTGTAAAGGTCACACAATGTTTCAGCATATAAATATACCACAATTCTTTTACTGATACTCCACTGATGGATATTTAAACACTTTCAAATTCATTATCATATGCAGTGCCACAATGGCATCCTTACATTCACATTTTTGGACATACATGCACACATCTATGTGGGATAATTCCTAGAGATGAAATTAGTAAGTATAAGAACACTTGCATTTTACATTTTGAGGGATATTACCAAACAACCTAAGTTTGTTTAACATACTTTGGTCACTGGTAAAATATCTTCAGTGTACTCTTGTAGCTTATAAGATCAAATGTGTAGTTCTTAGATCCTTTGATTTCCTACTGATAATTCAGCCTCCAGCCCACAAGCTTGAGTGGTAGAGAGCTCCTCTAGCCTTCAATCTCTGTCTGTGTCTCTGTCTTTCTCTGCTTCTGTCTTTTCATTTTTTTGTAATTTTTCCTTTAAAAAATTTTTTAAGGTAAAAGTATTCTCTTGTTTTCAGCCCCATCTTTGTCTTGTTAATAATCCCTTCTCCCACTCCCACGCAGGCAGGAGAGGCAAGAGGCAGGCCTTGAGAAGAAGATTCCTCATGGCTCCTGAGAACTAGTGATTCTGTGTGGCGCACAGTTTTCTATTTTGTGCTTAAAAAAAAAAAAAATTGGGAACCAGCAGTTAGCGTAATGGCTGTGTCGCTGGATTCCCATGTAGTTGACCGTGGTTCGCGTCCCAGACCCGGTGGCTTGGAACTCACGCTGGGCACATGTGCATGCGTGCCCAAGATCCCGAGAGGAGAATGGAGGAGAAGGGATTGTGGCATGACCATGCCCCCTGGGGGGTGATTTCTCACTTTCTGTCTCTCTGTCTCTCTCTGTCTGTCTGGCGAGCGCATGTGCCCTATAGGGAAAACTTCTCAAAAAAAAAAAATTAAAAAAATTTTTTTTCCTGTTTCTTTGTTGTTATTGTCTTTCCTCTCTTTCTTTTTCCTTTTCTTTGACTTTTATCTCATCTCTCTGCTCCTCAATATCCATTTACTGTGTTTCTAGATGGATCTAAGGAAACTATAGCCAAACATCCAAATGCTATTAGGGTGAATGTATTCCTCAATATCTACTGAATCTGCTACACAAAGTTATCACAACGGAACTGCAAAGAGATTCCAGATCACCTCTTTCTGCTCACTCCTTAGCGTGCAGATTGAACTTCAAGAATAAGGAAGAAACACACCATCCATCAGATGACTAGAAATCACTGCAGGACCACAAGGAACATGGGAAAGCAAGAAAATACCTCTCCTCTCAGGGAAAAGAATAAATCCTCTTCATACACAGATAGTTCAATGGAAATTATGGAAATTTCTGATGAAGAATTTAGAATATTCATAATGGCTAAGCTAACAGAGATGGAAGAGAAGAGAGACAATGAACTACAGAAGAGAAAGGAGAAAGGAGCTGAAGAGTTCCAGGAGGTGAGGAAATTCTTACAAGATCTAGAAAGGAATTACACACTTTAAAAAAGAATCAAATGGAACTGTTAGAGATGAAGGTTATAATACAGGAAGTCAAAATGTCCCTTGAAAGTATTAAAAGCAGACTAGATCATACAGAAAATAGAATCTCAGACATAGAAGAGAAAATTGCTGGCCTAGAAAAATCCACCACAAAGACTAAGAAAATGGCCCAAAAATGACAATAATATATGAGAAATAATAGATACCATCAAACGTCCAAACATCCAGGTAATTGGTAGCCCAGAAAGTGAGGAGACTCATAAGGGCATTGGTAATCTATTCCATGAAATCCTACAAGAAAACTTTCCAAACCTAGAGAGGTACTCTAAGATCCAGTCCCAAGAAATACAAAGGACCCTAAATAGAATCAATGCAAGAAGATCTTTTCCAAGACACATTATAGCCAGATTGACCAAAACCACAGACAAAAACAAGATACTAAGATTGGCAAGAGAAAAACATCAAGTTACCTACAAAGGCTATCCCATCAGGCTGATAGCAGACCTCTCATCAGAAACAATGTGAGTGAGGGAAGAATGGGAAAATATATTCAAAGTGTTAAGAGAAAAGCAATTTCAACCAAGAATACTGTATCCAGCCAAGATTATATTTCATGTGGGAAGAAAAGAATATTCTCAGATAAACAAAACCTGAAAGAATTTACCAACACCAGACCAGATCTCCAAGAAGTTCTCAAGGGAGTGCTATATCAGGAAAATTAAATATAGACACACAGAAATAAGAGTTCAAAAACTAAGAAAATGGCCAACTTAATCATAAGGACAAGTCTGGAGTTGAATATTATATCCCAGAATTTAATTGGGAAAATCAAACCGCAACAGAAGATAAAGTAAGTGAGACTGAATTAGTGAAATAGAATTTTATGACTTTTGACTAAAACATTGCTGATTTTCTTCTAGGCTTTGTCATCCAGTTTTAAGGATTAGTGTCCTGTCACGAGCTGTTGATAGGTTCATGTACCTACGATTTGAACAGAATGTTAACCTGTTTCCTGGCTTTAAGTTTTAAGCAAAATTCCTTAGCATTTCTTTGATTTAAGTTAAAACTGCTTTTCCTGAAATTACCAAGTGAACTTGCTATTGAAAGTAGTTAGATTATTTAAAAAATTGTGTGATCAACATAATATGCGGGAAAAAGGAATGGAAGACAACTGTAGACACCAGAGATAGTGTGAGAAGAGGGTAGGAAAGGACAGAGGGTCAGAAATAGGAATAAAAACAAAACAAAACAAAGCAAAAAAAAAAAAATGTATATATATATATATATATATATATATATATATATACACACACATATATATACACACACACACACACACACACACACACACACATATATGAAACTAGAAATGGAAAATTTTTGATGATAACATGCATGATTAAGCCACTATGCAGTATATTAAGAATGGGAAATAGCATTTTGTATGCTGTGACGATACTTAGGGACTGAATGTAAATTAAGTTAAAAAAAAAGTTTCAGAAAAAATAAACCTAAAACTGTTTTTCTTGAAATTAAAAAAAATGTGTTAAAAATACCTATTTGATGACTACAGTAAGATATATAGCTTCAGCTAAGTGCTACTTTATAGGATGTTCATTCTACTCACTGAGGATTAGGCCTAAAGTCAGACTTGTGTTCATGAATATGTATATATCAGCTGTGCTTGCTATTCAAAATATTTAGATTAAGATCTTTAGTGAATCAATAAGATGTGGGGGGGAAAAGGCATAGAAAGCAACCATAGATACCAGAGGCAGTGTGGGAGGAGGGTGGGAGATGGCAGAGGGTGAGAGTTAGGGAATCAAGGATGGGGGGAAAAAAGCAAAATATACAAGAAACAAGAAATGAAAAATTATTTGTTGACCATAACATGTATGTTGATGTGCTTGACTGAGCCAATATACAGTGTATTCTGGATGGAAAATCTCATTTTGTATACTGTAATGATATACAGTGAATGAATGTAAATAAATAAATTTAAATACAAAAAAAGGAGATAAGACTTCTTGATAGTGAACTCAGATGGTCCTTTCCCCAAAGTTTTTCCTAGCCATGTACTGTGCTTAATCCAAGTTTGGAAAAGGAATCTCTCTTCTGTACTGACAGCAGGGAGGAGAATTTTATATTGTTATTACTGCATTTATCTTACTGCTCAATGTTTTCCTTCTTCTTTTTTTTTAAGGTTTCTGTCAGAGGGCATGTGCGCTTGCCAGAGAGACAGACAGAGACAGTGAAAGGGAGAGAGAGAAATTACCTCCCAGAGGGATGGCCATGCTACAATCCCTTCCCCATTTTCCTCCTGGGATTTTGAGTATACTCCCACATGGGCTGGCATGATTTTCAAGGTGCTGGGTTCAGAACTCAAACCATAGTAGCCGTGTTGGAGTTCAGAGCCTTAACCACCATACACCTGCTGGCTCCACTGTACCATAATCTTGTGTTTTTGTTTCTATGACTACACTAAAAACTTCTTGATAGCAGAGACATTCTCTTACCCTACTAGCTACTATGCTCTTAGAACTTAGCACAACTCTCTGTACCTTTTGTTAAAGTATGTAAAATTTTAAGATCAATAAAAATCATTATTATGCCATATTAGTCTTATGTACAGGAGCTGAGGTATTTTCTATTAACCAATTAAAAGAAATGATTCTTTTCTCATTATTATTTGCTAGAGGGAGTGTGTACCCACAAGAGACAGAGAGAGCAACAGTGAGAAAACACCCTTCACAGGGGATGGCCATGCCATAATCCCTTCTCCTCCATTTCTCTTTCCTTTCGGGATGTTGGACACCCACGCACATGCATGCAGTGTATTTTTCAAGCTGCATGGTCTAGGACACAAACAGCATGCACGGTAGGCCATGTGAGATCCAGCTGCCTTAACCACCACACCACAAGCTAGCCCCAAATAAATTGTTCTTGTTTTAATGATTTTTAAGCCCAAATCACATATCTTTATACCTTTATCAGAAACCATAGACTAATAATTCTCACCTGAGTTTTGTTGAAGCTGCACATAATATTGATGACTGTAAACGGAGTAAGATGATAATGCCGAGCATGGTAATTAACCTATAAAAAAGATATTATCATAATTTTTCTGTTATTTTTTAAGTCAAGAAAGAATAAGACCATGAAAAATAAACAGTGGAGTCATAGCATAAACAAAAGTAAAATCATAATATAAAGTCAATATAAATTATACAACAAAGTTATTGTTAAAAGTGCTTTAAATAGCCTATTAAAAGTATATATATATATATATAGTCATATAAACACAATCTGAAGACCAATGCATAATATACATGTTCATGTAGACTATCTGACAGTGGGTCTTGCTGTTTGGTATTTTACTTATTTAAATACCCAAATTACCTCTCCCAGATCATGCTCATTCCAGGTAAAGGTTTTTGAAACTATAGGTCCCTATTAGTAAAGTATGAAATCAGTCAAGGTACTCAAAAAGATATTTATTAAGTGAAATATAAAAAGAAAAGGCTATAATGCCATCATGTATTCTAATGATATAATTTCATAAAATATTTTTATATTTAAGTCAGTGTCTTGCCATCACAGTTCTCCTGCCTCAGCCTTCCAACTGGGACTACATGTGCACATAACCACACCTGGCTCTTTTTCAGACAGCATCTTGCTAGATCACCCAGTCTAGCCATCAGTGTGCAATCCTCCTCCCTCAGCCTCCCAAATCACTAGATTACAAGCACCTGCCACCACATCTGGCCGGTAAGTTGTACAGAAAAACAGAAAAATATAATATATAAAAATACTCCTCTTGTTTTAACGTACCTAAGTGTAAGGCTGAATTTTCTTATTTCTTTTACAATCAATTATAACAGACTTATCACAGAAGCAGTTATGAGAATCTACCCATTTTCTATTTATTAAGACATTTGCAAAAAAGTAAAATACCTGTTTTCTTTTTTATTTTTTGGAGAGGTTTTTGCTACAGGGCGCGTGTGCTCGCCAGACAGACAGAGAGAGACAAAGAGACAGAAAGCGAGAAATCACTCCCCCAGGGGGGATGGCCACGCCACAATCCCTTCTCCTCTGTTCTCCTCTCGGGATCTTGGGCACACATGCACACATGCCCGGCGTGTTTTAAGCCACCGGGTCCGGGACACGAACCGCGGTTGACTATGTGGGAGTCCAGCGACATAGCCATTATGCAAACTGCTGGTCCCAATATCTGTTTTCTTAAAATGTTATTTTAATATTGAATGAGTTTTCTATTTTTTAAATAAATAAATAGAAACAGTAAAACTTTCATAGTTTTAATTTCTAAGATGGTAAATATAAACAGATATGACCCACATAAACTTCTTTGGAACTATCAATAATTCTTAAATTTTAGAGATTTTGAAAGTTTGAGAACAGATGTATTATAGAAATATGGGGACATTTCACAAGGAACAATGCTTACATAGTTTCATGACATTTATCTGCATTCTGTACTTCAAATGAGGGTTAGGATTATTGCTTCAGTCACAGAAATGGCATTTACCTGACATTGGCGGCGCAGAACAATGCAAGGATGGGCCAGTACATTTTCTGTAAAGAGACTAAATAAAAATGATTTAGGTACACATGTATCTGTGTAGAGACAAATTTAATTTATAACATATCTGCATCTGAAATTATTCCTGCCTGTAGAATCATGTATTATTTTATGTTCTCTAGACTTGAAAGAATTTTTAAAAATGTCTAGATATGTTTGCAAACGATTTTATCAATAACAAAATTTAATATAAAAAGTAAAAATTAAATCTGCAAAGTGGTAACTAAGAGAAAGAATACATAAAGTTAATACTGAGAGTATAAAAGATAAATCTAGATCTGTATGGTTGGAATGGGAAATGCTGCATCAGTTATATGACATCATTAGGTGCCATTTAACTTCCATTTCTTTCTGCAGATGTCCCATGAACAATGTTCCAATCAGCAGTGCCATCTGCTCTTTTTTTTTTTTTTTTTTTTTTTCTTTTTTTTTTTAGAAAGGTTTCTTTTTGCTGCAGGGTGCAGAAAGAGACAGAAAGCGAGAAATCACCCCTCCAGGGGGGATGGCCACGCTGCAATTGCTTCTCCTCCATTCTCCTCTCAGGATCTTGGGCAGCACGCACATGCACCCGGCGTGAGTTTAAGCCACCGGGTCTGGGATTTGAACCACGGTTGACTACATGAGAGTCCAGTGACACACCCATTACACTAACTGCTGGTCCCAAGGGCCATCTGCTCTTTATGTGCCCCATTTTGAAAAATTTGGTTCTCATGTACTTTGCACTTCAGTTACAGAACTTTTTAATAGTTTGTTAGTCAACTATTATTTTCTGTATCATGTATTTCTTTTGAAAATATTCCCCACAAAATATTACAGTTGTGAGTTTACGCTTTGCATGCAAGGACATTCACATATATATATAAGGTCAAAACAACATAAGTTTTAAGTATAAACAGCAAGGCTAAAAATAGTAAGACTAACAGAATGAAAAATACAGATTTTATTTTTATTGACATTAAAATCTTCAGTTTAATTATGCAAATAAAAGTGTTTTCTCCTAGCTCAAACATTTAAAATTATGCTTTGCAAATTCTTATGTTTCTGAAACCTGTATTCACTAATGATCGCAAGTAAAGCTAATGGTTTTTCTGAAAGAAAATGATCACTAGAAATAAAAAATATTATTAAAAAATAATAATAAAATGGGGCCAGCTGGTGATGTGGTGGCTAAGGTGGCTGGATCCCACATGGCTAACTGCACAATCGCCTCTGGAAAACATGGCAGGCACACGTGCACACATATTCAAAAGACCAAGGAGAATAGAGGAGAAAGGACTGTGGTACTCTTTCTTACTTTCTTTCTCTCTTGCAAGCATATGGTGCCCTATAGCAAATTTTTAAAATAAAAAAATAAATAAAACAAAGTAATGCAGATGACTGAATGCTGATTATAAGAAAAATGTACACTCTCTAATGCTAAATATTTGACTGTTTAAAGAGATGGTTCAATGTACATTTTTTGATGAGGAGGGAGATAAAATAACATTTGGTTTTATTCCTTGGCTAGACTCATGACAGTTCTGACAATACTGATCACAAAATTATTTTGTGTGTATTTACAGAATTGAGGGACTAATCTCTACTCTTACTAGAAAAAATTAACTTAAGGATTTTAATCATTTTTCTAAAAAATATTATTTAATATTTAATCTGCTGCTTGCAACCTGCTTGCCCTATAGCAATCATTTACTACCATTAATTTAAAAAACTCTAAATAAAAAATTCAAGTCTTTGGATAAAATATTACCTTGCAAGTCCAATACCGAATCCAGCAAATCTATTCAACTGTTCTGAAATAAAAGGAAGATTACTCAATCAGTATTTTGGTTTACTTTAAGAGAAAACTTTTCTTTTATTAACATGCTGCCCATTAAAACCTAAAAGTCAAATTGTGGTAGGGGGTAGGGAGGTAATTTGCATGAGTGAAGGATTCTGCTGAGGCTTCTTCCAGCCACAAAGTATAGACCATTTAAAGGCACAACTCTTTAGTGCCAATTCACTGTTGCCACAAGGGACTATGGGCCCAGTGTTTCCAAGTTTCTGTTTTATTCAGAAAAGATATTATCATTTGTATATAAAATCTTTCAATTTGTAAGTATTGGTAACTATTTCAAAAAGTTAAAACAGTGGATGGGCCAAATCAAATAAGTACTCAGAGCCTAACGACTGCCAGTTTTCAACTTCTTACTGCAATCAATTAAAAATATTTTCCTATGGATGGCCCTGCCTCTTTACACCAACATTACCTCCTAGGCTATGAAACTATTCACTTTATTGATGGAGAGCACCTTGTTAATCCAACAGCTGCACAAATACCTCTAAATTATTAATTTAGGAGACTACTTAGGATAACCGAAACAGGTAAATATAGCTTTCTTCTTCTGTATCTCCTTGAGTGTTGAACAGTTTGCGAGCAGCTGTTTAATTCAGTCACTGTGAAAGCTTACTGGGTACATATGTGCTACTACTGACGACATTTCTGTGAAATCACTGGAGACAGTCACAGCTGGAAGCATTCCTACACATATGTCAAAAGAGAAAAGCCTCCTTCCTCGCCTAAAGAACCAAAGCCGGGACCAGCAGTTGGCATGATGGCTATGTCGCTGGACTCGGCTGTGGTTCAAGTCCCAGACCCAGTGGCTTAAACTCACGTCAGGTGCATGTGCAAGCGTGCCCAAGATCCCCAGAGGAGAACAGAGAAGGGATTGCGGCGTGGTCACACCCCTGGGGGGTGATTTCTCACTTTCTGTCTCTCTCTCTTTCTGTCTTTCTGGCGAGTGCATTCATCCTATAGCAAAACCTCTCCAAAAAAATAAAAAAATAACAAATAAAAACCAAGCCATAATAGTAAACTATTACAGCTTCATACATTTCAGTTATTGCTTTTTTTCCTTTTGCTTAAGAGGCAGGATCTTCTGTCTCAGCCTCCTGAATAGCTGAAATTACAGGGTTGCCACCATGTCCATTTCAACTATAATACAATATTCACAGAGGACAATTCTCCCTCTCTTTTTTCCTCTGCCTTTTCAAAGGAGGTGATGTCCTTACATTTTTCCGTTCCAGTCAGAGCAAGGCCATGACAGCATGTTCCTGGGGAAACCAGGTGGTTCATCCTTGACAAATACACTAGAAGCTAGATAGAAGGCTTTTTGGCCCAGTGAAGGTATTTCTCCTTTCAGTTTCATCCTTTTTTGTCTGTCTATGATCATTTCCAAATATTAACTGATATTTTCTAGAAAATATTAAGAAGGTTTGACTGTCGATCTCTCTTACTGCAAAGTTATACTTGCTTGTTAACAGCTGAAGAATAAACCCATTTTTGTAACTCTCAATGCATAATGAAAAGATAAAAGCATAAACTTTACTGCCTGAAAGGGTAACTAGGTAGAAACTATATTTGCACTTCGAATAATTTTATAACTTAAGAAGCTTTCTAGTATTCTCTGGAACCAATATGAAACAATAGAGTAAAAACTAAGTAAAAGTCAAAAAGCTAATTGTATGACACTAGATAAGTCAGGGATCTTCCTTCACATCCTCATTTGCTTAATGGGTAATCATTAAAGTTTATTCTTTCCAGTTTAACTCAACTCAAATATTACTGTACTTTCGACAAGATTGCGATGAGACTAAACCTAATTATCTAGGATACGTTTAATATTTAATGATATAGTTAATCTATTATTTTCTAATGATTCCAGAAGCAAAAAAGGCAGCCATTATTTACATTCTGTGAATAAACAGGATGTCCAAAAATTGCAATTAGATTGTGCAGTGCTGCCATTAAAATACTGGCCTTCTGACATCCTACAGAAAATAAATATGTTAGATTCCACAATCAAACAGTCGATCAGTACTTCTAACTTTTAAGAGGAGTTTTTGGTCAGTAGAAGGAAAGCAAAGAGAAAATTACAGAAAGATTTCCAGATTGGGGATCTAAAAGAGACAGATACAACTCTTACAGTTAAAAAAGGAAAGGAAGAAAATGAGTATTTTTAGCATACTCTATGTCCTACACTACCAGGAGTTAAGATTCACTGTATTTAATACTTGTAAAAACCCTATCAGTTATTCTTCTGTAAATACTAAAGATGAGAAAAAGGATGGCCCACAGAAATGAAGAAAATCATTCTGTGAGTGGCAGAAGGAGATCTGAGGCCAAGCCTGCCTATGCTGAGAACCTCTCCAGAACACAAAGGTACAAGTAAACAAATTCATTCATTCATTCATTAAGTCAAGAAAATACAGTTGCCCGAGGGAATTAGGGAGCAGTAATCCAATTTTCTTCTTTCTCGACTCAGGCCACGGATTGTGACACGGCGGAACCCCGGATCGTTCCTCCTGTGCACCCCACAGCGAGGCAGATGTCTTCCTCGGAGGGGATGCCAGAGCGTCCCCGCAAGGAGAGGCCCGCTGGGGGGCAGAGGACGAAGAGGGCAGAGGGCGAAGAGGGCAGAGGGCGCGGCGCACCGTAGGCCCAGACCGAGGAGGCGGGACCCTCCACGCGGCTTCCCGGGCCCGGGGTCC